AGACCCCGTTGAACAACAATTCATGACCATTTCCTACGCCAACTTCACTCAGTTGGCTGGATAGTAGCTTTTGATCTTATGGTAGGGCCTCAAATACCATTTCACCCAGGGAGAAAGGACAAGAATGAACCACTAGTCGCATGTTGTTCCCTTTATGTTCTAAAATGTTGCCGTGTTCTTAGAAAAGTTTTGGTTGTTTGTTTAATGTTTTTGTCAAGGAGTTTGGTCTCTCTAAGAATGGTACAGTTGCCTCAGAAACTTGGGAAAGGGTCATGTGAAGGAGCGAGTTGAGGGTGAGCCCCCCACCCCTCCAATTTGACAATTCTTACTTTAAAGGAGTTTTTGAGCGGAGAGAAAGAATGTCTTTACTAATGGAACCTAGCCCTGCTTAATGACCCTGTCTTTTGCTCTCTAGTTGAAAAACATGCTACGGATGAGGATTCTTTCTTTGCAGATTATGCCAAGGCTCACCAAAGAATCTCTGAATTAGGATTTTCCAATGATAAGTGATGTAAAGCTAGTGACCTGATTTGACTCAAATTTCTTTGGCCCTCAAAATTTTGGGTTAACTAGTATTAGCGCTTTGAGCCGAGGCCTTTCTTTTTATTTGTTGGTATTGAGAATTTGCACTTACAAACCTTTGTTTGGATCAAATCATTCCTATATACAGCTATAAAATTACTTGGAAAAATTTGGCTAAAGGGTGGTAGAACTAGTCAAATTAATAAAAGGGGTACGACGTTAAAATATTTTTTCTGAAGGGCAGTAGTTTATTTGTCAAAAATCTCAAAATTAATATAATTTTATAATGACATAATTACCCTTTTTATTACCCTTAAAAAAAATAAAATTTTAAAATGACAAATTATTACCATGAGCCTCCCGTGAACTAAAAAGTTGCCGCCCAACTTCTTGTTGCTAGTATCTCTCCTAACAATACCAAGCTCGACTTCTTGATCTGGAGCAGCTAAACAAATCAATAGTTGGAGCATCAAGCCGATGACCACTACCATGTCTCTCCCATCTATTCACAAGCAATTGATTTACTTTATTAATTAGATCCTCCTTTGGGCAATCAAGTAATCTAGCCAATCTCTTAGCACCAAATGCAAAAGCATTACGAATTCTAAATAAATTAGCTGAAAACGAGGCAAGGGTTGGGTAATTGAGTTACAGAAAAACACATGTATAGAGGAAAAAAGGCCGAGGTTATTAACCGCGGAAGAAAACAAAAATTACAAAAAAAACATACAAACAAACAAGAACCACGAGTATCATGTTGAATCACATCACATCCTTAGAATAGATTCATCAATTAAAGAAGAACTTAATTCACTAACCGTGCATGCCAGTCGATATCAATAGCATTCCCGACAGCTCTTATTTACCTTAAACCTTCTAGGAAAAAATAATCCAAAACACAAAAATAACTGGTATATAAAAGTAAAAATAAAATAAAACTATATTGCTTCTTTACATGTAGGACTATTGTGGTTGCGGCCTTTGCAACGTGAACAATAAAGTGGCCTTTTGTTCATGAACTGAGACTCAATTCTTTTACGGCGGCGTCTTCCTAGAGGCATCCTAGTCTTTGGCTGTAGCAATTCCCACATTGAGCATGAACCTTCAATAAAACCCTCATGAATTTTCAGTACCGGTAGCGTATGGCATGTAATTTGTTGGAATACTTTGCATCAGTTCAAAATACATTTTTTCTTGCATATCCTTTTTGTACCAGGCATTAACATGATCATAGACATTTAAATTCTGATTCTGAATTCCACAACAAGCATGATGACATGGAAATCTAGTCATTTGCCATTCTAAACATGTGCAACTACTAGTGCCAAAATTAACTACAATTGTACCTTTCTGTCTCTCATAAACGTCAACCTCAAGTGGAGGCCTAGATGATGCTTGTAATCCTTCTCCTCGCTTGATGTTTTCATTGAGTTTGACTTCAATTCTGCGTCCAATGCCATTCTCCAGCTACGCAGGTCAAATACCTTGTTAAGTAATAATTCTGAATACTTTGTTACATGAGTTTGCATCATTCTTCCCATAGTCATATATCTTGCATTACTCATCCAAGCATTGAAACTTTCAGCAATGTTACTATTCATCCAATCCCAACGTTGTATACTAAACAAGGCATTACTCCAATGTTGAGGTTGTTGTCTAAAACTGTGTTTTGAAAATCAGACCGGACCGGACGATCGATCAACTTTGACCGGGAATCGGAAGCCTTTCCGGTCCGGTTTCAATTAATAACCGGTAGAGTTAAAAACCGGTCAAACTCAGTCAAACCCGGATAAAACCACGGTTTGACAGGGAACTGGTACCGGTTAAACTGAAATTTTGAAATTTTAAAAATAAATTATTTTTTAAATATTTTTTATAGCTGGTTTTTACCGGTTTTAGATTCGATCTAAACCAGTTGAACCGATAAACCAATGAACCACTTAAGTTGTCGGTTCACCTTCCGGTTCGATTTTCAAAACATAGGTCTAAAATCCATTGATGCAACAATGGCTGAAAATCGTTCATTCTGTAGCACCTGTCATTCTGAAATTTGAATTTCTCGTGATGAATGAACTGAAATTTTCTTGCAAATGTCTGTAATAATGAGCATGATTCATTTCTCCAAATAATGCATTTACACCGTTTAGTATCGAAGTATTTCTGTCAAATATGATAACTACTTCTCTATCATGCACAACATCTTTAAGTTGCCTTAAAAACAAAAAACCAATCCACTTCATTTTCTGAAGTAACAATACCATCAATTAGAGAATACATACCATTATTGGCATCCAATGATGAAGCTGATAGCAAAGTCCCCTGGTATGACCCACTCAAATGACATCCATCAATGAAAATACACTACAACAGAAAACCTTGAATAAGTATATATTAGGACACTACCATAAACACGTGTTATTAAATAATTCTAACAGAACACTTTTATGCATCCTAGCACAAAGGGTCCCAAAAAATAGTTGGACGATTAAAACCGTCTCATTATTTATCATGATGGGACACTTTTATGTGTCCTAAAATAATGTGTCCCAATAAAACCCTTAGACACTTAGAATGGTCCCATTAGTTTCCATGTTAAGACACATAAAAGCATCCTAACAATCATGGAATTTTAGTTTGTTTTTCTTTAATAGTACTATTTTTAATTTTTCATAATGCTACTATGATACCCTACAATTTTCTCTCTTAGGACTTAGTTACTAAACAATAGCCTTTTTAAAGTTTTCAAAATACTAGTATGGCACCCTAGTATTTATGTTTTTATAGAACCTTTAAAACTTTCTATAGATGTAATGCCGACTAATAAAATCAAAATTTATAATTAGATGTTATGAAACTTGATGTTAATAAAATAAGAATGTGAGGTATTTGTAAAACGTCGTACTTATTGTATGTTATAAAACTAAATTTGTAATCTATGTATTGTTATTTAATACATTATAATATGTGTGACATTGTATTGATAAGTATACAGTTTCTCCATCTCTAAACGATTATAACTGCTCATGGTACTATTTTGGTACAATAGATATAAACAATTGTTTTGGAGGAGATGCGATATTGCACGTACATATAAATAAAATCATAATCTATCTCATACCTCTTGGCACGTGTAAGGTTTCATAATAAGTACATAATGTATCTATTTACTCTAAAGACAATAATTTGATCTATTGAATTAAAATGAACAGGAAATATTATTGTTTTGGATGAAAAGATAGTATATTCACTATTCATTTATTATTTTTTTTACTTATCGATAAATTAGTAACTCTGTAAATTAATAATTTTTATAGACCAAGTGTATTACTTCCTCTATACCTTATTATAAGACATTTTGATTTGTCCTATCTTAATTATTATTTTATTTTAATTTAAAATAAAACCTTAAAAATGTATCTTTCACATTTATTATGTTCTCCCAAATATTATGAAATATTTTTAAGATTTTATTTTTAATTGGAAGAATATACTAAATGAAACTTATGACAAATTAATATGCTTTTATAAAAGAACGGGTGAAAGTAATTTATAAATGTTCTACTGACTTGTTGTCCCTTCAGCCGTACTAATCAGCCTGAGTTTTGTTTTTTTTTTTCTTGTGAAAGTTAACTTTCCATAGTCATTGAGTGAGTTTAAAAAATATTATTTTTCCACACATCCATATAACAATTACTTAAATGATTTCTTGTTAGCAATATATTTTATATATAAATTGATGCAAGTATAAATTTTTCTTAATAAATGGGGAAATACTACATGTACATATTATCAAAAGGAGAGATGATGGAGTCACTTTATTTCCAGATTGAAAGCCCTTTCAAGCTTTAGGGTTTCAGGATTGTTTTATGGAATCTTTATCGACCGATCTAATTCTTCCGCTCACCTCTCACCATCTGATTTCTTTTTCTTTTTTTTTCTTTTTCTATTGGCAACACTACATTGAGCAATTAGAGGTGCCCTTGAAAGTTCATTCATCAAGGGTGAAGAGTGATGAGGGGGAGGAAGGTGAGAAAAGGGGAGAAGTGGAGAACTGGGAGGAAATAAACATGTTGAGGATCTACGGATAGAAGAGATCTGAGGACAGAGAAGGCAATGATGGCCTAGACATTAGGAATAGCCGCTGCAATCAAATTCAAATAGGTGATGATTCTTTCTTTGTGTTACTGCCGGTTTCCTTGTTTTTTGGTTTTGTTTTTTTATTTCCCTCGTTGCTGGTTATGTTTCACCCTTTTGTTTTAGTCACTTGGTTTTGTTGCTTGTGTTATTGAAATGGGGCAAAATCATGAATCCAAATGTTGTCAAGGATGAATTGCAACTCTTCAAGCTGCACCAAATAAACAACCCACCTGAGGAAGAAGGACTATCAAGTCTAGCTTTTATCTTTGGGAGAAAGAATGAAATTTTGCTAGCTGTTAACTATCCAAGCTAAGGTTTTTTGTTTTTTTCATACCTTCTAATGATTCCAGACCTGTTATCGTTGATTGGTTTATTATATTTTCAAATAGAGATTTTTAATGAATAATGTTAGGCCTCATTCAAATGTATTCATTATGGTTGTTGCTATCTGAGTTTTGTTATTGTAGCCATGAGCTGGTTTTGTGTTTAAGTATTTGAATGACACTAATGAGCTATGTTTATTGAATCCAGAAGTTGCCCCTAACTTTATGAAGCTTAGTGATAGCATGATTACCACTGTTTCGGGAGTTGATGCTAAGCAATGCCAAGACTTGCTGTGTAATTTGATGGAACTGGTAGGCTTAATTTTGGGATTTTTTTTCTTCTTTTTCTTTGAATGGATACATTAATTGCTTGTTCTTTTCAGTCTCTCTTTTTTTGTTGAAAGATTTGATTTTTTTTCATCTATCTTCGTGTTTGCTAGTGTCACCATTTAAAACATCAAAGTAGAGAAAAAAAGATTCCGCTTGAATGTGCATTAGACTTTATGATCCGCATTCTATCATCTTGCCGTGAAGAAGGATTGATCGTGTCTTGGATCAACAAAGATGAGTATTGTTATTGCTCTTTCTTTGTGAAGGAATTATGTTAGGCTATTTTTCCAAAAAATCTCAGTTTATCGATTCGTTTCTTTGTTTAGAGTTTCTTATATGGTGTGGATGGTAGAGCGGTACGTATTACTAACTCTAAATTGGGCTCTAGTTTGGGAAATGGTGTTGCGTACTATCATCTCAAGGTCGATAATATAATTGAAATGAGAAAGCATTAGCCTAAAGCCAAACTTCACAAAATGGATATTTGTCCCTCCTCAAAGTTCCCATTCGGTGACAAGTATGCTTCTTTCCCTGATTCTGTTCATGTTTCTTGCGTGATTTGTTAAGTAATTTTACTTCATAGTCAAACGCGATTTGTTGTTTGTTATAGATTGTACGAGGATAGGTCTACGTGGTTACCTAATGAAGCTGCATGGTGTGCTAAACGTGTTTGTTGTTGCACTGTATCTTCCTCCATTAAGCCTCCCGGGGCTTTCGTTACTGGTATGTTTGTTGTTATATCCTGATTCTGTTTTCATCATGGTGCTGAACTCTATAGGAAAATTTAGTAATTTCATCTATATTTTAATAAACTGTATGTGAAGATTAGTATGTTTTTTTCATAATTTTATTTACCCTAATGATGATGAGTGCATTCTTTTGTTGGTTTTTGTAAGTTTTCAATGCGGGAGCTTGTGGGTGCAAGGTGGTCCATAAGAACGTCAATGCGAAAGAATTTTTGGATGGCTCTCCATTCGCACATGTCGAGTAAGAGAGTAATCGAGGGAGATGATCCAAATTTTGTTTCCATCAACGAATTAAATTAAAATTATTTGGTTGTCAACTTTTAGAAATTTATAATAGATTGTAAGACGTTGAAGTATTATTGTTGTGCACTATAACGGGGTTTTTTTCCCTCTTTTTTCCCCTTCGAGGTTAAAACTGAAAAAAAAGGTATATGCTGCTTCTTCATACAAGAGTAACATTGTTGATCTAGTACACCCAACTCTCATAAACTGGATAGTGATCCCATTCTTTCTGCGTGCAGGGAAGAGTTGATGAAATTTGATAATGACAATTTGGAAGAAGGTGGTTGGGCGGAAGCTCAAATCGAGAAGTATGGCAGCTATGGAGAAACCTTCTCCATCAAAACTATCATGATTGATACATTTTTCATGGACAAAGTGACTTTGCTAGATGAGTTCTAATTTGGCAATGGAGAAGTTGTTTCAGCTACGTAAATGAATAAAGAGAGGAAGTTGTTTTGGCAATGGAGATAAGGCTGGATCTCTTTGTTACCAAAATTGATTTCTTTTAGCTAACTCTGTATAAGCATTCAATTGTCAAACTTTGACATTTATATACATTTGCTGAGTAAGCTCAAGAAATATTGTTGATGACTACTTTTTGTTGTATTATTTATATTTTAGTTATTATGACATTTTTATTGTAAAATTAATGCTAGACTATTAATATGAAACTAAGTATAAGAACAAAGAGAAGAGACAAGAGAGTAGAGAGAGATAAGAGACCTGTATTCAGATGTATTTTGAACCATGAATGAGCTCTCTATTTATACAAGAAGTAGGAGATTAAACTGTGGAAAATGAATCACCTATCATTAATGCTAAATATTACAGAATCATATCTCCTTGATTGTGAATAAAACAATATATGTTAATTATGGACATTCAATCAAATCAAATCAAATATTTCATAACACTCTCCCTTTGAATGTCCATCTTTGCGGAATAATACCTCGTTAAAACCTTACTAGAAAAAACCCTTTGGGATAAAACCCCAGTGAAGGAAAAAGAGTATATTTTTGAATGTGACACTGACTCGTTAAAAACCTTGTTAGGAAAATCTATTGGGACAAAACCTCGATTAAGGGAAAAAGAGTACAGCGTGGGTTACTCCCCCTGTTAAGTACGCCACTTGTTATCTTCTCGTTGCATGCCAAGCTATTGACCAGGTTCATGATTGTTTAAGTCAATAATAGACAGATTACTTCGACTTCTCATGTAGACGGTTGTCTTCATATACCTGTATAATCTTGAGTGTTTTATAATAATGAAGATGCATGACCATCATACCTTGAAGGTATCAATATACAACATCCAAGTCTTGATTAATTGATTAGATGAACCGAAACTTTATATGGTACTCCAGGACCAAATCGATCTACATCATTAATAGAAAGTCAATAAGAATGATCTATATGCACATCAAGATTTTAATCAAGTGCGCTCAACGGGTATTGAATATACAAAGGTCAAACTATTTAGATCAAGATTCTACTCAAGATCTTTCATTATCCTTGCTTCAGGCAAGTAGCAACCTTTTGAACTTCTTTAGAAGTGTTCAAAACTCTGATATAATTCTTCAGGAGTTTTACTTATATTCAGGCTATTCGAACTTCGTGATAAGTTTCGATAATATTCAGCCTTTTGAAACTCTACAAGAGTTCGGTGCTAACAAAATTGTAATGCACATATGGCTTATGAATACTCACTCTAGTATCAGTTATCATCATATCATTCAAATACGACCATAGAAACCAATAGAAAATCATGTTGCAAACAAACATAACATATCTAGATAAAAACAAACATAGCATATCTATTATATTCAAAAATATGAACCTAAATATCTAGATACATGAAGACATTATAACTTGCGCAAGTCCTTTGAATTAATTTCTCGAGAATTGAGATCATGTCCTTTTATTTTTAATCCTTCGGGGATTTTATATAGACGTCATTATTAAGTATCACGTATTAAGTGATCATTATAATCAAGAGATGCATTTCTTATCTTCATTTGCTACTAGATTAGCAAATAACGGAAGATTTTCCTTTTCATCCACCACAAGATAAACCAGACTTTGGGAAAAACTTGTGCAATAAAAAGGTTGCTCGATAATATTTTGCACAATCACTCGCCAAAATCTTGCCGGCATATCACTTGCCAAACTTCTGGTTTGCAAGCAATTTCAATTATAAGTACACATCCTCAAGTGTGTATTTCATTTTTTCATTTGTTGTGGCCAATAAGTTTAATGTCTGCATCTACAACAGACTTTCATTTCATGATCCTCATTTTCATTTATTCTACTGCTGCAGCATAAGCAATTTTTATGTCGATATTTTTATTACTGATCGATTCCATGTTCTTTGTTAGTGAGATCTCACAATCATTAAGTTTCCCAAATATTCATATACTTCTTCTGGAAGTTAATTCACCATAATGAGAAACTATTATAGGTTAAAATTCTTATGAATTATAATCACTCGTATTTGCCATCTCTATAGATTTAAACCTTGTTATTTACGAGGATTTTTATCATTTGGAATCGATGGTTCTACCACTCATTAAATGGACATTCAACTAACAAATAGTGGTAGGTAGTCCTTCAGGGACACATTATCAAATTCTAAGTTTTAACAGCCTTTTATATAAGATATATTTATACATTCGGTCGGGTAAACATCTGGTCTTAAACGTTATCTCTTGAACTTCAGGTTCATATCATCGAGGATCATAGTGAAATAATTACATTGTCCATATGATTTTATAAATAGGCTGTTTCAACTTCTCCCCCTGATGTTAGAATAACTAACTCACTAAAATGACGATTAACCAATCAAGTAGTTAATAAATCTCCCTTTCGGAGTAACTAACTCGTCAAACTAATACGATCAGTCCATCGAGTAGCTAATCCAACATCAATAATCTCAAACATTAGAAATTCAATATTCAACATATATTTCTGACCTCTTTTAGAGGTTCCATCATTGTGTACATTGTGGTGGAATAATTATAATATAGATTGCACATGTCATCTTTGAAGATGGATATGTATGGTTTCTGACCGAAAACCACTGTTGGGAAGAATATCTGCAATGACTTGTTTGGTTTTATGCATATAATTGGTGCCTTTTGTGTTTCAACACTTCCTCAACTATACATGAGTTAATTACTTTAATTGCACACGTGCAATAAACGATTCTACTAGACCGCTTCATTATTGCTCTTATAGGCGCTCAATGTTCAACTTCTATTCATTCTGGTATTGAGTCATACATTCACCACAATTGTCAAATCAAAATTCTCGTAAGAGCAGAATGGCTTAAGTAGTTATGCCAAATTATAGAACTCTTCTGGAAAAAAAATAGTGAGTTAATTATTCAAATATACTAGAACAATTTCGCTCCACATGAGTGTTTACTTTGACAGAATATCTGTTCTTTTGCTGGAGACGGTTAGAACAATGTCTATCCTTCTTTGATTCTTTGGATAATCTTAATACTCTTTCTCCTTTCAATATTCAATTTCAATTGCTCTTCTAGAGGCAATGATAAAGTATACTCCACAACCATCACATTATTTGTTTTCACTCTCTAGAGTAAGTATACTCTACAGAATTTTTCATCTAACTTGACAAAACAGTTCAATGGCACATGCTCTACTGGAGTATTTAATTGATTTCCTGTTTATCATTGACTAGCATCACCTGTAGGGCAATTAATAAAATCTACAATACCCATAGAGATAATTTGAGTTGCACTATGTGCAAGGCATACTTTTTCCATTAACAAATTTAGATCTTATTTTCTTCGAAACATGTAGATAGAAATGTCAATTAAATAGTGTCATTACTATAGTGACTAAAAGATTACAACACCTTCAGGGTGTTTGACATATTGGACATTTTCATCTCGTAAATTTTCAAATCACCTTCAGAGTGTTTGACAAAGAATTCAACATATATTGAATTATGATTTGTTAATTCATTGTCGACATGACTAATGAATTCATCTACTTTCAATAATATATTAAAGACATCAATAAGATAATTGTGCGTATACAAATCATGTGAACCCAAGGGTTTTCTATGCCACAACGATAGCAACAATATATTACTTTTCAACTTCAGATCAATAGTAGTGTTTTCACTATTTTTCCAACTTTAAGTGGTTAATAGGGAAAAATTGGCCGAACTACCCAAAGGTTGACATATGTTGTCAATTTTACCCTATTCTTTTTCGGTTAGCCAATATTACCCTAAGTTATCCAACCGTTAGCCGATTTTGTCTAATTTGCCTATTTTCGTTTAAATTTAATGGAATTCTGTTAGTTTTAATTACAAAAAATATCCTAATAATTTTGAAAATTATAAAAATGACCCGAAAAATTTGTAAAAATAATCAAACAGTCTTCTTTCACTTTTTATTTAATTTTTTCTGTTTTCTATTTCTCTTTACTATTTCTCATAACTATAAAAATATATTATATAATCTTTTTTAAAAAAAAACTATTTATTTTTAAAACACTATTGTGCAAATTTATAGATATGCATATTCGTAACTGATGGTTGATTTGCATAAACATATTAATTTTTTTAATGATATGGTTTAACAGTAATGATATTATTTTTTTAATCTATTTTTTTCAATTTAAAAAATAAGATTATTTAACTAAACCTAATTTTACACAAAAAATAAAATATTTAGCATAGATTAATTTTTTTTATTGGTATATTTTAATGTATTATTACAATAGAATTCAACAGAATTTAGATTATATTGTAAAATTAAAAAAATAATTAAATTAAAATATGCACTTTCTTTAAAAGGCCAAGTACAAACAGAAAGTAAAAAAAAATGGTACAAAAGATTTTATAAAAAATATGTATATTTATCATTGCGAGAGTTTAACATTTCATGATAATTTTTTGAGATATTAAATCTAACTTTAGCAGGAAATTTTTTTTAATAATAATAAAAAAAACAGCTCCAGTACTGGACTCCACCTTAAAAAAAAAGATCGCCCCAGCGAGAATTGAGGCCTCGTACACAGTAATAATCATCTCCCATCTTAAATCTGACCATCCAACTCAACCCTCTCATCTTTAGTAAACCATGCATAAATGTGGATAAAATCGCTCTCTCGGTTAAAAATCCTTGGTGAGAATTAATCTTATATCTACTATCATGAAGCTCAACACCTTAAACACTAGATTTTACACTATATTTTTGTTTAGTAATTTTTTGAATTGGATAATACAATCTATAGTTTGTTTATTCAATTTGTAATAAATTAAAATGTACTAATATATTAACTTTTAATCTATGCTAAATGTTTTACTGTTTTGTAAAAATTGGTTTTTAGTCAAAAAATATTATCCTTTAAATTGAAAAAAGGATTTAAAAAACTAATATCATTATTGTCAAGTTATATTATTAAAAAATTAATATGTATATGTAAATCAAC